CTCAACTGGAAGTATCCATGGTTCATCTTCACAGGCGTATTTACTATTCCAGGTGTGGGTTTGCCTTTTCGACTCACAGAGCTTCAGTCGGCACCACTCTCTGTAGGTTTATGGAGTTCATCATCCACAGGCATGGAATCCCTTACAACGCAGTGTCTGAGCAGGGGGACCTACTGCACAGCAAAGGAGATGGCCTTATGACCACAGACCCAGGTTTACATCACGTATCACCTCATCTGGAAGCAGCCAGCCTCCAAGAAGCACGCATGAATAAGCAGCTCAGAGACAGGACATGGTGCCCTTCTCAGAATGTAGCGTATGCTTAAATCAAAGACCTTTAGATGGGCTAAGACCCTGATAAAAAATAACATACAGGATCAAAAACAAAGGGAGTTCCTGGGAAACAGGAAGTTGTCCCACTTACCATCACTTCCAACAACTGAATCATAGTAAGGAATTTTGTGCTGCCTGTTTTGCAACTCTGGGCTTTGCAGTGTTGGAATTTCTGGTCTCCAAAGTCCACCCATTATTTCCAGAGGACACAGCAAGTACCACATTTAACCCAAAGCTGTGGAGGCCACTAGGACACTGTTGACTACTAGTACTCAGGAACCAGAAAGTCAACATACTGTGGTATCTGACCCTGATCAGCTGGGGAAGGTAGTGAGCACTTACCCAGTTAGGACAGGAAGAACACAGTGGCATCCAGGTGGTCTACTTGGCAACCTCCTGGTACTTCCTTGCCTCCTGACTCCATGCTATGTGACAGATACAGCAACCACTGTCAGAAGGGGGTATGGTATGATTGCCAAGGGCTCCAGGAATGAAGGTTTGGGTTGCACCACCAGGGAAGTCACCGATGCCTGCTGAGATGATAGCTAAGGGTGAGGGGAATTTAGAATGAATAATAAGTAAGGGAGAGGATGAGTACCAGTTGCAGACCTGAGACCAACTGCATCAGAGATGATCGTTTGTCCTACTCTCTTCCCTCTTCTAAATTTTCCTCAGAAAAAGAGACACAAGGAGGAGCTATCCCATGAACCTGCTTGGAGAAACAGATCTCTGTGGAGCAAGGGGTGGATTATTATTATTGAGTCAGGGTCTCACTCTGTCACCCAGGCTAGAGTGAAGTGCACAATCACAGCTCACTACAACCTCGACATCCTGGACTCTGGTGATTCTTCCGCCTCAGCCTTCCAAGTAGCTGGAACTACAAGCGAGCAACCCCATGCCCGGCTAAGTTTTTAATTTTTTTTGTAGAGATGGGCTTTCGTCACGTTGTCTAGACTGGTCCCAAAATTCTGGGCATAAGCGATCCTCCTACCTCGGCTTCCCAAAGAGCTGGGATTACAGGCATGAGCTACCGCACCCTGTCCAATGGGTGGATTATAATGGCCACGAGAAATGCAGAGTTAGATCTCCTGCTGTGCCTGGGCCACTCCCAATGACCAAGCACAGGGGCTGGGAGAGGGGGTTGCAACGCAGGCCCATTCCTGAGAGACATGGAACTCCTCTAACAGAGATTTTGGATCACAAACTCCCCATCAGTCTGGCTAAAACTTTATTAGAATGACACTGCAGACTGAGACCCTTCCTACTGAACCTTTCACTCCTGGGTCCCTGTCATAAGAATCAGACTTCTGCTCTCCTCCTTCACCCTTCATAGCGGTTTCCCCAATGCGATGCTGGCACAGAAAAATCTGTTTTGGTGTCTACTTCTCAGGGGACCTGAAACAATGTAAAAGCTAACTTTTATTGTTATCTTTTCTTTTTCCTTAAACACAAAGACCCTGGGGATGAGGGTGAGATATTTGGATCCAAAATTAGTCATATACTCCTGGCACTAGCCCACTAAATTCTCAAATTTCTAGAAGTCTTTTAGTAATCTCAACTACAAGTATGTGTAGAGACAAGGTTTGTGTGTATCCTTTGCCAAACCCTTCTACGTTTGTGACTTTCAGGGGAAGAATTTATTTTAGAAACTATTTTGGTCCTACAGATTTTTTTTTTTTTAAATCCTTTTCTTCCGCTCAAAAGGCAATACATATCCATTTAAAAACTAACAGTGTGACAAAGTAAAAAGTTACAAAAATAAGTTAGTAGGAATTCAGGACAAAGTCAAAGTTAAAGGTATCTAAATTAAATAATTGTTCAAATTCAGCAATAAAAGAGGAATGAATTATTGATACACTCAGTAACATGGATAAACCTCAAAAACATACATGAGAGAACTCAGGCACATGTTTTCTGTATGACTCCATTTGTATAAAATTCTAGAAAAGGCAAATCTCATCACAGTAAGCCCTTCAGTGATTATCTGGAGCTTGGGGAACTGGCTGCAAAAGGGCACAAAGCAAATTAGGGGGTCACAGAAATACTCTTTATTTTGATTGAGGTGGTTATGTATGTGTGCATACCTTTTCAAAATTCTTTTAACCATACACTTAAAATGGGAACATTTTTTATATATAAATTATGCCCTGGTAAAGCTGATTTAAACACACATATGCAGTTTTCAACTTCGGAAGAAATGGGTCACAATATCCTCCTTCCCCCAGGCCACCGTCTTTCTTGCAGTTCCTGTCTGATGGTATTCTCTTCTGGGAGTCAAGCTTCCCTCCAATCTGTTCTTCCCTCTGTGGCCAGAGTGATGTTTCTAAAAAAAAAATATGACTGTGTCTCTTCCAATAACCTCTCTTCTTCACATGCATCAATGAGGGTTGAATCAGAAACAGAACCACTAAGAAAGATCTAGATAATAGACGCTTATTATAGGGATTTGACCTTGCACACTGTGAGAACTGGTTAAACATTCTCTGTAGTGCTGTTATGTTCACCTGGGGTATCTTCTGATGACAGAGTTGGAAGTCCACAGGGCAGGCAGCTGGGAAGGGAAGATGGATGAAAAGTTCCAGTAACAAGCTGGAACCCACTAAATTAGAATGAACTGAAACCTGTACGTTCTTATTGCCTGATTTTGGTGGTACGGGGCAGAAGTTGGGGCCCCTTGTTACCACGGAGGTAAGCACACCCCTATCCAGGATTCAGGGAAACTGACAGAGGATCCAGAGGAAGGTGCAGCAGTTGCAGGCTCAGCCACTGCCCCACACAAGATGAGCCAGCAGACATGCGACAGGTATGAGCTACCAAACTGCTACTTCATTTCCATCCTCCAAATCTCCCACAAGTCTCCTATGGCCCACCCTAACCAAGAACATACAGTAAAGGGTATGCTGGGAAATGTAGCTCAGCCTAGACAGAATGACACATGACAAAACCATTAACACAATCCCAAACTAAATGGTTGCCCGTTGCCCTTACTGCCTTAACAAAACTTATGAGGTTCTGGTGACCAGACTTCCACCAGGTATTCTGGCATTATCTCCTAAAATTCCTCTATCCCTTTTTAGGGGACATGTATTCATGTTTAGTACAAAGGTTCTAAATTCTAGACCTTCCTGAATTGAATTCCCCCTAGCTGGAACACCCTTTCTTCTTTCTCCTCCCCCTCAACCTGGCTGAGACCTATTCACCCTTATGGCCTCAGCATCCTTTAGAAAACCTTCCTGACATATTCTTTTTATCACTGGTGACCAATACAAAGCCAGGTCTATGCTAACACCCAACAGATGTCAGTTGAACAAATAAACGTATAGTCATAGGAATTAACTGATTATAGCTATGTGAACATATGGATGGAGTTTTAGGTATACAGGGGATGAAGTGTTACAGTCAAGGTCAGTAGACAGATGATATATCCAGTATATTAAAGTGTAGGAAACTCTACTCACTTCTGCAGAAATACACACATCCCATTTATCTCCTTAATCGCTGTTCCCTTGATATATAAACCCCCATTACAACATAAACTCCCTAAGTCTGTCACCAGAAAGCAGAACCTGAGCAAAGGTGGTTTGTTTGGAAGGCAACTCCTGGGAACAGGATTAAAAATTTGGAAGAGGGGACAGGGAAGAGAGGGGGAAAAAGTCAGTAAAGAGTGTTACTGAGCTAAAGCTGTGAGCAACTGAAGCACCATCTCATCAGGGACCCACTGCGACATGTGCAGAACCTTAGATATCCCTCTGAAAGGAGACGAAGGTACTTACTTACCAAGTGCCACCCCTCATCATTTGAGCGATGCCTCTGGGAACTCATGTCCTCCCTCCCAACATTTTCTGCCTGCTGAGATAAACAAGATCCTGTGGCTTTAGCACAAGGCACAGGCAGAAAAGTAGAAGGACCACCAAGACTCATGGTGGGATATTGGAAGAACACAGGAAACTACCAAAGCTTCCATGGAGTTAGAGGAAGGCTGAGGGGACATAGCCTGAGCCACCAGCAATTTCTGCTCCACTTCCCAAAGACTTTGATCTCCATTAATCAGTAGGTACAAGCAAAAATATGAAAATAAGAAATGCCAAACCAATGTCACTTTCTTCTTTCAGAGAACTGATGGCTCAGGAGGTTAGGGAAATTTCATTAATCTACCGAATTATAGTAAAGAGGGCTAGACAGGTAAGAGATAAATAAAATGCTACTGGACGACAGCTACACTCAGAGAATGCTGACCAACGATGCAACTGTCCAGGTGTATTGTATTCCTTCCCATCTAGTGTATGCGAATGGTAACCCTGGAATTGTACAGGCCGCAACCCTGCCTAGCCCAGAGTGGAGCTACTCACCGAATATGAAGGGGACAGGAGCAGGTGAGATGTCACAGAAAGCCGTTTGATCTGGAGTATTAGGAAAATACAGATCAGTGGCTCTCATGTCGGCGGTTATTTTGTCCCCCAGAAAACATCTGGCAATGTCTCGGGATATCTTTGGTTGTCACAACTGGGGAAGGGAATGCTACTGGAACATAGCAGGAAGAAACCTGGGTGCTGCTGAACATCTTTCCATGTACTGTACACCCTCTTTTTCCCAAAAAAGAATTATCCTATCCAAGATATCAAGTGTCAAGGATGAGAAATGCCAAACCAATGTCACTTTCTTCTTTCTAGGTATTAATATATAAAAATACACATATGTATTATTTCTTCACTTGTAACAGTTTTAAACCATCATCATTTAATTACAAATGATTTGTCCTACATGCCAGCAATACAAAGTGTTGCATTAGTACCACCAAAACCAAAGGAATTGGTGAGTCCAATACATCTTTTCTCAGTTTTCCATTCCTGTGCCTTGAGTGGAACATAATTGAGATCAAATTCTGGTTCTGTACGATCCAGGTTTAAAGTAGGTGGTAGCTTTCGATGATAACAAGCTAGTGTGGTAAAAGCTGCCTCGACCGCCCCTGCAGCCCCCAGCAGATGTCCCGTGGCCCCCTTCGTTGAGGAGACTGCAAGGGCATACGCGTGGTCTTTGAAGAGACGTTTGATGGCTTTGTTTTCAGCAGCATCTCCCAATGGCGTGGAAGTAGCATGTGCGTTGATATAGGATATCTCCTCAGGTGGCACACCTGCGTCTTTTACAGCAGCTGCCATACATCTAAGAAAACAAGAAGTTTAATTTATCAGGACTAAGTTTAACTTTAACAGGAGAGTATTCCTATGGCTTATGTGAAAGAAATGGAGGTATCCGGGAACACCGGATAGAAAGCTTCCTTGCTCTAGTAACAGAATCCCATCTTGGATTATCATCATGTGAATATAATGCTATCTGCATGGGAAAGATGAGTCACACTTAGTACCTGGGACTGATTCATCACCATGTGTTAAACACAAAGCCTAGGGATTGTATAATCTCTAATAAAATATAACTCCATTTATGTGAATTGGCATTTTTCTTTGGGGGAAAAAACCATGTTGAATCAAGACTAGAATAATTTTTCTTCTAAGGATTTTTTAATGAGCATGTTTTAATTTTTTCTTTCACAATTAAATATAATATTCCATATTTCCCAATAATCTACTATTTCAGTGTTTTAAATAACCTTTCAAAATTCTCTTCACTTAGGATATAAGAATTATAAATAAATAAAGAATTACAAAGCCAAGTCAAAAAACAAAGGCTGGGATCACACCTGTAATCCCAGCACTTTGTGAAGCTGGAGGTGGGGGTAACGTGACAACAACTGCTTTAGCCCAAGAGTTCAAGACCAGTCTAGGTAACAAAGACAGACTTCATCTCTACAAAAAATTAGCCAGGAGTGGTAGCACATGCCTGTAGTCCCCACTCCTCAGGAAAAAGGTCACCTGAGCCCAGGAGTTCAAGGATGCAGCGAGCTTGATCATGCCACCGCACTCTAGCCTGGGTGACAGAGTGAGGCTGACTCAAAAAAAAAAAAAAAATCGAAAAGTAAAACATTTCCCTGGAAGAACCTTTGAAAATCTTTTAGATGTCAACAACTTCCTTTTAGCTTCTGATATAGAGGCAGATAGACAGACAGATGCACAGACACAGTATAGATATAGATATCTCTTAATGGGCAGCCAGCTCACAGTATAATTTGAAGTGTGCTGAAAGGTTTCTCCTAAACATAACCATGTATTCATCTAGCTGGTTTCTATGCTTGACTTTTTTTAAAAGTCAAAGCAAATACTCACTAAAGTCAAAGCAAATACTCACTAAAACCCAAAAATATAATTTAGATGTCAGTAAACTATGGCCCTGGCTAGATGCTTGCCTGTGAAAATAGTTCCTTGGCACACATTCATGCCCATTCGTTTATGTAGTCTCTACGGTTGCTTTCACACTATAATGGCAGGGTTGAGCAGTTGCAACAGACTCCATGACCCACAAAGCCAGAAATGTTTACTATTTGTCCCTTTACAGAAAAAGTTTGCTAACTCTCGGCTAATTTAACAGAGTAAAGCATAATATGATTTGCTAACACATTAACACGGTACCAGAATTTTCTTTTAATGTTCTACTTATCTCTTCCACAACAAATTAACTTGCTTTTCAAAATATCGTCCTTAGACCAGCACCATCACATCACCCAGGAGCTTGTTAAAAATACAGAATCTCCAAGCCGGGCTCGGTGGCTCAGCCTGTAATGCCATGCCTTGGGAGACCGAGGTGAGTGGATTGCCTGAGCCCGCGGGTTTGAGACCCACCTGGGCAACTCGGTGAGACCTCATCTCTACAATAAATCAAAAAATTAGCCGGGCGTGGTGGCGCACACCTGTAATTCCAACTACTTGGAAGGCTGAGGCGGAAGGATCACCGGAGCCCAGCAGATCGAGGCTGCGGTGGCTGGGAATGTGCCACTGCACTCCCGTCTGGGCGACAGAGTGAGCCTCCGACTCAAAAGAAAAAAAATACAGAATCTCAAGCCCCACCCTAGACCTAGAATCAGAATCAATATTTTAATAAGATCCCTGGGTGACTAAAGACTGAGAAGTGCTGATCTGAAAACACCAGGATCCTTCTGAAACGGAGCAGAAACTAGACGTTTTGCACTAAACCTTATTTCGTTTTCCATTTTACACTAAACAATAGAGATACTGCATACCAAGGCCAGATGTTATGGTTTTCTCTAATTTGGAACTCCAACAAAGTATCTTATTTGAAGAAATATTTTGAAAGAGACAACCGTCTTTACCTTAAGGCACCTTCTCCTTCAGGATCGGGGGCAGTTATGTGACCAGCATCACCAGAGAGTCCATAGCCCAAAACTTCTGCATAGATCCGGACACCTCGGTGAACTGCATGTTCATGTTCTTCCAGCACCAGCACAGCTGCACCTTCTCCCATTACAAAACCATCTCTCTTGGGATGGAACGGTCGACATGCTGACTTAGGATCCGAGTTTGTGCTCAGAGCCCGGGCTCTGGAAAACCCAGCAAGAGATAAAGGGCTAATGCAAGAATCTGTACCTCCAGCCACCATCACATCAGCATCACCACGGGCTATAAACCTGAAAGAGTCTCCCACAGCGTGAGCCCCTGTGGTACAGGCTGTGGATACGGCATGATTGGGGCCCTTGAGTCTATACCGAATGCTGACCTGGCCTGCGGCCATGTTAACCAGAATCTTAGGGACAAAGAATGGGCTAACTCTGTTGTAACCTTTTGTCTGAAACACCAAAGCAGTTTCAGAAACAACTTCAAGAGGAATCATTCCCATGCCAATTGCAACACCAGTAGCCACTTGGTCAGCTTCTGACTGAGGATGCCAGCCAGAATCTTTCATGGCTAATTCTGCAGCCCCAATGGCCATGACGGTGGGAGAAGACATGGACTTGAGATCTGATGTGGACACAAAGTTTTGTTCATTGAACTGACCTTCATCACAACCTCTTGGCACAAAAGCAGCCACACTGCAAGGGATACTCTTATACTCTTCGCCAACCAGTGAGACAACTCCACTCTCTCCTCCAATAAGACGATCCCAAACCAGGTGAGTGCCAACACCAAGGGGAGTCACCAAGCCAATGCCGGTGATGACAACCCGCCGAGGCAATCTAGATGTTGGCACGGTTCCAAAAAACTTCCTTTGACTTCTTGTGAACTGCTGGCACAGTCTTGAACATGGATGAGGGCTTGTGATTTTCAGGAAATTTTGTAAGCGGTTTGACCACATGATTGTGATTCGGACGATCAGACACACATTCCTGTAACAGACCACAGCACACCTAGGAGGTATTCACTGTTCAAACAGCTTAAGGGCCTAAGAAACAATCTCCAAAGGGTTCCTTTGGGTGCCTGACACGGGGTAAATAACGTCACACCATGTTTACTCACACGGTACCCTCAAACCACCTGTTTAAACTGAATTCCTTTCTTAAGACTGTCAATACTCTCGGACACTCGATGAGAAAGAAACGAGCTGATGATGCATTCGATGCACCAAAGCAAAACTGATCGATGAAAAATATAAGGCACCCCCCTAGCTTGATAGAGACTGCGACACACTTTCTCGGGATTACCCAGGACTCGTTCTAAATGGCATTTCTGGTGTCAGTGGCACAGAAACCACATTTCAGGACCTTTTCTTTGAGGTGGGGTGGGCGGGTTTTCTCAGCCTTCCATACCTAGGGATATAACCAGTCTTCTCCAAAGGCCACCCAGGACCAAGAGACCCGGACTGGGTATCTTGAGAACTGGGTGGCCATCGGCTCCGTGACTACTCTTAGGCAGGGGACAGGGGTCGGGGGACAGGTCTTTCCACTCCTCTCAACTCCCCCCACCGGGACACGTGTGGAAGGAGAGCTTAGGACGGGTCGATCCCTTCGCCGGCACCACGAAGGCCAGGGCGGGGAGCAAAAGGGTGTGTGGCCATTCCCGGCACCGCCCCTCGAGCACCACCACACTCCCACGAAGAAAGCATGGCGGCCAGAGGAAAAGAAACGAGGCCCCCGGGTGCTCGGATTTCCCTCTGGAAATTTAATCCCGATTCGAGGCGGCGGTGAAGGGGCGAAGGAGGAGGGCAGCGAGCCGCGGATACCTGCTCCGTGGCAGGCGCCGGTCGCGCCGCCACTGTCCTTGGCGATGACGCTCGGGGTCGCGCGCGCGCGCGCGCACGCACGCGCACGCACGTTCGCACATGCGCGCTCGCACCCACGCAGAGCGTCGGAGCCGCCCAAGTCCCCTGTCCTTGCGCCGCGTCACCTTGACCGAGGTCAGCAGGGCGGGTCGTCGTCAGCCGGGGCTGAGACGCCCCCTCGGAACCTCAGGGACTCGCGGATGTTCGAGGACCTGCAAGTAACGCGACGAGATAGCATTTTCGCCACCGAAAAGGAGTTTTTTCTTGGGCAGGGATAAGGCCCATGTATTCGCGCGTTGGCAGAGAAGGGGCAGCATCGTATTCTACTGAATCCTGGGAAGGAATTAAGGGAATTACGGTAGCAAGAAATTAGGATAGGGAATTACGGTAGTCCCAGTTGTTACTGGACCTCCCAGAATTGTTTGTGATGGTGAGTCCAATAGAACCAACCAGAATGCCCAACATGAGGAAATGGGTTGTGTATCCTGGATGCATCCCAATGCCATGCAGCCATTTGACATCATTCTCTAAGGGGAATGTTTATAGATAATGAGACTATGTTAGTTACAAAACAGTATACATCCTTTTTTTTCCTTTTTTTCCAAAAAAGAAAAAAAAATTTTTTTTTGAGTCGGAGTCTCACTGCTGCCCAGGCTGGAGTGCAACGTGGCATGCTCACGGCCACCACAGCCTCGACCTGCTGGGCTCAGGCGATTCTGCCGCCTCAGCCTTCCAACTAGCTGGACCTACAGGCGTGTGCCACCATGCCTGGATAATTTTTTTGATTGATTGTAGAGATGAGGTCTCACCAAGTTGCCCAGGCTGGTCTCGAGCCCCTGGGACTCAGGTAGTCCTCTCGCCTCTGCCTCCCAAAGTGCTGGGATGACAGGTGTGAGCCACTGCGCCTGACTCCAAAATAACTTTTAAAAGTCTGCAAGAATGTACAGTGATTATAATGGTTCCCTCCTTATTTTTGAGTAGTCTTACTAACTTTCTACGATAGACAAATAATGCTTTTATAATAATATCAAAAGTTTTACTTATTCAGAGTTGTCGCCAGATCTGGGGCAGTGCTGAAAATATCACGCCAATGTCTAACAACAATGGAGACATTTATTTCTAAGTGTATGAAAAATTTATTAACTTTATTTGCTCAGAGCTGGCTGTGAATCTATAAAGGGAACATATAATATGAAAATATAAAAAAGCAAGAGGTCAGCATAGTGGTATTTATTGACCATCTGTTATTCACATGCTGTCCCAAGTGTGAGCTTTGTCCTTTTTTTTCCTTTAAAGGGACAACCATAGAATCTTCACCTTCTAGTCATAGTTATGTTTCTTTCTGGGCAATACTTCTAGAAGTCATTGTTTCCCAGTAGAGTGCTCTGCCTTTTCCCCTGCCACTGGAGAAGAATTTGAGTCAAGCTTAGCGTTTCCTGGTTAGTCTTGGATGTAAAGGAGTTTGGGAGTCCACCTTGTCCAAAATAATTGAGAGAAACCCAGTTTGATCTTGCATCATCCCTCATCTCAAGCCTATCCAGTCACCTCTTTGTCTAATCCTCATTCAGTGACAATAGAATTACTTTAAGAATTAAAACAAACACATGTAATTATAAAATAACTAAAATTTGATGAGAAGTACCTAAATTTACTCTATTTTCATTTTTGTACAGTACTTTAAAATAATAGTGTGGCCTGGGCACGGTGGCTTATGGCTATATTCCCAGCACTTTGGGATGCCAAGGTGAGAGGATTGTCTGAGCCCACAGGTTTGAGACAGCCTGGGCAACTTGGAGAGACTTCATCTCTATAATAAAAAATAAGCCGGGCATAGTGGCTCATGTCTGTAGTTCCACTACTTGGAAGGCTGAGGCGGAAGGATTACCTGAGCCCAGCAGGTTGAGGCTGTGGTGGCTGTGAGCGTGCCACTGCACTCCAGCCCAGAAGACAGAGTAAGAGACTCTAACTCAAAAAATAACAACAATAATAATAATGTGAAAGGATCTACAATATTTTCTTTGAAGCTAAACATATATGAAACATACAGTTTTAATTTGCTGTTGTATTTTTCTTTTCTTTTCTTTTCTTTTTTTTGAGTTGGAGTCTCACTCTGTCGCCCAGACTGGAGTGCAGTGGCCACTCCCGGCCACGCAGCCTCGACCCGCTGGGCTCCGGTGATCTTTCCAGCTCAGCCTTCAAGTAGCTGGAACTACAGGCACACGCTACCACGCCTGGCTAATTTTTTGATTTTTTGTACAGATGATGTCTCGCCAAGTTGTCCAGGTGGGTCTCAAACTCACAGGTTCAGGCAGTCCACTCACCTCAGCCTCCCAAAGGCGCGGGATTACAGGCTGACCCACCGAGCCCGGCTGTATTTTTCTTTTGTAATGTCATGAGCTCATTGGACAAGAAGTGACAAATAATTAAAATCTTGTTAAAAAGTAAAAAGACAAAAAGGAGAGAGACATTTTTATTTCTACCTCTTATCGCCCTTTCTTGGATCTGGAAAGGGGTGAGAAATCTTATGATATTTAATAGTTTTATATACTTAATACTATATTTCTTGCTATGATACCATGGTGTTTTCTTGCACCCAAATCTTCAAACAGTATCTGCGTATCATAGGCTCCTGTTAAGATTTATTAGGTTTACCTTAATTCTTAGTAATCCAATTCAAAACTGTCTTTCCAGCTTAGCTCTCATTCTCTATTAAATGAGATTTTCACCCACCAAACTGACCTTCTAACTATCTTTTGACCCAACTTTCCTTTTCTCATCTTTATACATTTGCTTATATTTTCAAAAAACATTCATTTTCCTCCTCCTATACTAGGAGCTAGAATACAAAAATGAATAGAGGTATGGTTCTTGCTTTCAAGAAGTTCATAATCTAGTAAAGGCAGATAGCCATGGAAACAAATATGTACAAACTGTTGACACAGGTGCTGTAATAGTATTGTGACACAGAAGGGACAATGAGGTCACTGCTACCTTTTAAAGTCAGAAAAGGCTACAAAGAAATGACCCTTGAGCTATATGCTGAAAATGAGGGAATGTTTTGGGAAAGGTCATCCTGGCAGGAGAAGTAAAACAAAGACCTGGAGGAATGAAGTGTCATGGTGTCTTCCACAAACTGCTAAGTATTTCAATATGGTCAATGTCAAATTTGAGGTGTGGGCCAATGCAGCAGTCAAAGCATGGGAGTAAGGCAGGAGCTACATTGCAGAAGCCTTGGGTGTCCCACTGAGGATTTAGGATTTGATCCTCTAGGTCAGAGATCACATGCTGGCAGCCCTGGTCTAATTTGGAGTGCAACATTCTCTTATTATATCTACATTCCTTTAGGAAAGACATGGTAAGCTCTCTCCCTCCCTTTACCAGAGTCTCCCTTACCCTTTTTGTCTTGAACAAAACCACTTCTATACATTTAAGTTCCTAGCCTGGCTCCCGGCCCATTTGACTTTAGAATGTGGGCAGGGAGAGTCATAGAAACTTTTTACCGAGAGAGTAACATGGTCAGATGTGTGCCTTAGAAAGATCACTAATGCGATAGTGTACACCATGGATTGGATGGATGTGGGAATGGAGACAGGAAAGAGAGTTAAAACTGGATGAAACATGATGAGGCCTTGGCAAGGAGGCAACGTGCCCATGTTGAGAAGAAATCGTTGCTAGGATATTGTCCCTGATTAAGTTGTTCTTTCACAGCTGGGAAGTCTTTCTCACCTTCTCACCGTCTCAATTTAGGGTTCTGTTCAAATTCTCCCTCCTCAATGAACCTAAAATACCATTGAAATTTTTTGTCCTCTAAATGAGTATTCTTCAAACTTTACATCAAAATTATCTAGAGGGCTTGATGCTACATGTGTTGCTGGGACCCACCTTTAAAGATGGGGCTTGAAAATCTGTCTTTCTGACAAGTTTCCTGGTGATGCTGATGTGGTTGGTTACTCCTCTAATTGCATTATGACTTTTATGAAAGCAGAGGCCATGCTTGTCTCCTTCACTGTGTCACAGTGCTTGGCACAGTTGTTGCTTCATAAACATTTGGTGAATGAATGAGTTATTGAATGAATGAGTCAATAGTTATCCTTACATTTGCCATATACATGCACTTTCTATGTATATCTTACCAAATGACTTTTGTTTTTCTCTTCACAATAACCTTTGTTTCATCAACTAAAAGGCTATCTACCTGTGTCTAAGTTACTATCATTAGTTTATCTTCCTTCCAGATTAAAAGTCTCTTATGCCATTTGTCTCATTTGCACAGAGCAGGAATTGTTGGTTAATCAATTAAGGCAATCAAGAATGAAGCACCATACCAATTCCTGAAGGCTCTACCCTATCCTTGCTAAGGAGTGAAATCTTTATTAACCTTTGTTTTTAATAACAAAACCAAACCTGGGGAAAATTTAGTGAACTATTTCTTTTTCTGTTTTACTTAAGAATAGTGCTATGACGTGTCAACTCTGAAGATGATGTTCTTAATAAAGGTAGAATCCTGAAAAAACAAAAAAAAAATCATTATATAAAAAAATCAAATAAAAGAAGTTCAAAGCTGATTTAATACTAGACCATCCTTTAGTTGTTTGAGACCATCATGGGTATAAAGAGATTAAGGGTAGCTTATCTTCAGCTTTTCTAAAAGAAACTGAGGAGTCAAAGTATCTTCAACTGGACTTCAGTGGAAGAAACAGGGAAAAGAGTGAGACAATTGAACAAGTCCCTTGTTATAATAAATTCCCTTAATTGCTTTATAAATGGTGGTATTCAAAAGAGATTGTAGCTACTCAAGAACCTTAGCAGAAGTGTTGGTAAGGAGTTATTTCGAAGGACTTAAATTTCAGGTGATATTGAGGAATGAAATGGCGATTTCTATGATTTTAAGGACTGTACATTAGCACAGTATTAATGCTGCGGCACTGGTTTTCACACTGTGGTTGCAAGTTCCTTCACAGAAGTACCCTATGGCCACCCTCTCTTTGAGGGAAAGGCTGAGC